TAGAATTTGAAGGATATTTTTTTAATTTTCTATGGTATTCTAAGCGGATTAAGGGATGATGGATTTTACTATTTTTGTTTTACCTTGTCTTTTTTCCCATTAATGGAGGCGTCTGAAACTAACAGGTTAAGCAACACCTAGACTTAGGTTAGACTGAAAAACACTTTCATTTTGGACATGATACATCGTCGAACTTAAATCTTGCTCAATAAAATTCTTGGGATTTTGGCATATCAACCGTCACATTATGAATCACTTCCCTAATACAACTCTCAATCTTTCAAAGTGCCTATTTATTATACCACTCAATTGAAAGTCCAAAAATTTTGGTTCAAAATTTAACATTTTAAACTCATCCTCATGTTAAAAAAACCTAGAATACCAATGTTGCATCTCATTTTTAAAATATCAATTGATTTTGAGCTTTATCTTAAAATATATAGAAAAAATTTAAAAATTTAATTGTTTCTATTTTTATAAACTAAAATAAAAATTAGGCTTAATTACAGGTTTGGTCCCCTTATTTCACTTGACTCACGAAAATGGTCATATTATTTTAAATTTAAACAGTTTTGGTCCCTTTATTTTACCATACTCACAAAATTGGTCCTCTTATTTTAAATTTAAATAGTTTTGATTCATTTATTTTAAATTTAAACATTTTGATCCCCTCTCATATTTTTGAACTTAAAATTAACGACGTTTTTATTTTTTAAATGACAACTTACATGTAAAATTTAACAAATCATCGTATATAAACCTATTATTGAACTTTGTAGATAAGAATATAAGTTAAAAAAATGAAAATTCCATCGATTTTCTATGAATTTTTTTTTAAATGGGACTAAAACTGTTTGAATTTAAAATAGAGGGACAAAAACAGTTTAAATTTAAAATAGAGAGACTAATTTAATGAATCAAACAAAATAAGAAAATCAAAACTGTAATTTAACCTAAAAATTATCAACAATTATAAGCATGAATAATTTTTAAAAAATATCTATAACTATATATAAAGGGGATACAAGATTTTGGTGTGGCTTATTTTTGTTCCAAAATTACCCTTATTTAATTGTAATATTTCCATAATTCTCTCTGCAGTTTTTTTTAATTACACCATGTGTGAGCAAGAATCTCAACCGCTCAACCAAAACAAAAACTGCCGTACACAGACATTTAAGTGTGAAACAACTGCTCTCATTTCAATATCAAAACAAAAGTAATTACAAAACTTGGTAGAGCATCCTGAATAACAATGGAGTAGACTCTTATCGTTTTTTCTTCTTTTTTTTTATCTACATATTATCCTTTCCTTTCTCCATCCCTCTAATCTATTTTTTCATGTTTTCACTTTTTAATTTTCTTTTAGATATGTTCTTAAACATGATAAGGTCAAAATATATAAATCAATTAATATTATCACTTTTGTATATGTTCATGTATGTTTTATTGGTTTATTCAATTTAGTTTAATTTTGTTTTGTTCTAATGTGTAGCTTTTGATTTTAGTGTCTGAGTAAAAATACATTGCTTTAACTTTACAGGTTTTGACGAGATTGTCATTTTTATGTGACTAATAATTTAAGAATCATATATATTTTCATCATTTTAGTGTTAATTTAGGAATCATATATATTTTCACCATTTTAGTGTTAATTTAGGAAATCATATATATTTTCACCATTTTAGTGTTAATTTAAGAATCATACATATTTTCACCATTTTCACAATTACTCAGTTTTTTTCTTGGTCAATCTCTATCTTTTCTCCTTCTGCATTTTTCTTTCAGCTTTCACAATTACTCAGTGTCAATCTTTGTTTTGGTTAGTTTTATGCATTTTCATTTTGTAGGATAAGCGGATAATGTCACAATAAAATCATGGCAAATATCAAAAAGATTGATGATTAATTTTTGGACATGAGTGAAGGTGATCTTTGTTTTGGTGAACATGGTAATATATTTTGATATGTTAGCATGCATTAAATAGTATTAGAATTGACCATTAAAATCTTTTTATGCAATTCAATGCATTTTTCTAATTTTTTTTTAAATTTCCCTTATAAAATATAACTGCTTCTAACATTCTTAACTGTTGAAATTTAAACTACATAACTCTACCATTTCAGGTGCACGACATTTGTTTCCATGTCTTTCATTTCCAAACTCATGATAATAGTAACTTAATGCCACTGTAAATCATTTTTGGATGTTTGGATGCTATATATATTTTTTCAATTTCACATCAACGGAAGACATAAATTATATATTCTGCATTGTTCAAATTATTTGTGTTTTCCTTCTCCACACATGTAAGTCAAGTTTGTTTATCTATAGATTAGGTGTGGTATGTGTCAATTTGGATGCTATATTCACCGAAGTATGATATGAGAACTAACCATTTACATTGATGTCTATAAGATGAATTAAATTTAATTGAATTGCGTTGCAGAGAATAATTTTGATTTGATATTATAGGAAGTGATTGAAGAAGAAAATTTATGAGAAATCATCTTCTGATGATATATCGGTTTTCGATGAATTATTTTTGCAATGATAGTTCATGGATACCTAATTTAACCACAATACCACTGGGAAAATGTAAAAAAATGTAATATAGAGATAGTTGATTATATTTGTTGCATTAAATTATGTGTCTACAATATACACAAAATAAAAGGAGTTGAAAAAAGAAAGTATGCTTTTGTTATCCTTAATTGTAGTTATTAAGAAAAAAGGTAAGCTTTTGCTTGCTACCCTTAACAATAGTAGTAGTTGCACTGACTTCTTTCTTTTTTATTCTCTAAATTATTCTTAAATAAATTTGTTGAATAAAAAATAAGCAATAAGTATGTTTTGTATTATATAAAAAAAAACAAAGGTAAATCATCTAAGAAGAGAGCGAAAACTTAGAAAATGTTAGAAACTTTCTTATTCTTGCTAAGTAGACAATAATATTTTTATAGTTTAATTATCATTAGTTGTCTTTATGGTATATTGTTATTAGTTTTTAAAACTTCTATTATTCTTACTATACTTTTTATTCTATTAATTATTATTATTTTAGTTTTTTTAATTCTTTTTTATTCCCTTCTTATTTCCTTTTTTTCCTGAATTTTTGATATAGTTTAATCCTTTTTTTTTCTTTATATGTTGTGAAGAAGTTGTTTATATTGTTGAATTCAATACTTTTTTTTCACCCTCTATCTATTTATTTTTTTTAAACTTTTTTACTATTGTGTATTTCAATTCTTTTGTTTTGTCTTTTTTGTTAATTATATGTTTTTATAGTTTATACAATAATGAGGAAAATAGGGAAATTTCTAGATTTTTTAGGAATTTAAGAATTTGTGATGCAATTTTCATGAAATTGAATTTTAAATTTGGGATTTCCTTTCATTTATGAGATTAAAATTAGTTTAATTGTGTTAGAATAGAAAAAGAAGTTTAAGATATGAGGTGATCATTAGTACAAAATAATAACCATCATCATATAATAAAGATTAAAAAATAAGTCATTTATGTGTTATTCATAACTACAAAATAATGACAATGATGCATTGTAGTAATAGTTTTTTTTATAACAATCCTTTTTTTTCTTTAACAATTATATTAAAGTTTTTATTGACAAGATTGAAATAGTATAAAGATAAATACTAGGATTTTTTAACCAAATCATCCTTCACTAAAGATTGAAATAGTATATTTAATAGTGCATTGATAAAATGATGTATGAATAATTAATTCAAATCTTTACAAGATAAAAAAATATTATATTGCACTAATTACTATTAATTTCACTATTTTTTTTCTCTAAAAAAAAATCTAATATGAGAGTCTTACATTTTTTTATTTAATATGCACAACAATGGCAGGAAAAAGAAACTTCTTAGAATAAAGATTTAATGCTCGGTCTTCCTATTAAAGAATTTTATTGATTACACAGTATAAATAGTACTTTGTATTATTCGGTTATTTAATATAATTTAGAATAACTTTGTTTATCATTTTCAAAATGTAATAATATTATTAGCATGTTTAGACAACATATTTTTTTATCTAACTTTTATTTTAATTCGGTATGTTTAAAATAATAGTAGCATTAATATATAGTTAATTCACTAAAGTATTTTTAGTATATATACATTTATCATTCTGATTTTAAGACTGTTTGAGGGTATTTAAAAACATTATTTTTAATTAATCTTATGTATGATAAAAATTTCATACAAAATATATACACGTTTATTTTTCTATGTTGTGCGCATTAAAAAAAGCGGACAGACGGGCACGGAAGTACCCGTCTGAACGCTAATAGATATAAAGTTTTTTCATACTATTCAAATTTAGGAACCGTCTAGAATAAAGTTTGTAAAAAACCCGATTAATTAAAAGATGAATTCTAAAATAAATTGTTAAAACTTCCATAAAATTTAAGAATGAAAATCAATACATAGTGTAGAATGTTTTTTTTTTTTTTTTTTAAATTTATAAAATGAAGTATGTGAGAACTAGGTATGGGAGTGTAGAAAAAAATAACTCATTAACGAATCTACCTGAAAGAATAGCCCAATTATATGGCCCAAATCTCAAAACAACGAATCGAATAAAATCCCAAGAATCGCAATCATCGCACACAAACCCTAACCCTGCCACCGATTTCACCTCAACGCAGAGAGAGTTTGTGTAGCTGCTGCAACACTCGGTTTCTCTGGTAAGATCTATATCTCCACCATTCATGAATTTGGGTTTTAGGCTTTCTTTCATTGAATTCTAAAGCAGCTTCAAAATTTGATTTTATTTTTTGAGTTTCTATTGCATTAGATATCTAGAAATAAGCACTTTTGCGTTATGATGCCACCTTCATTAGCGATCTCATTGAAATTCGTTAGTGCAGTTTAAGATTTTTGATATGTGTAGCAGCTTATGAACTGTGTTTAGAATTTTCTATTTGGTGTTTATGTTAATTGTGATTCTTTTTGTTGTGATTTGTAACAGCAACTATGGTGAGGGTTAGTGTCTTGAATGATGCTCTCAAGAGCATGTACAATGCTGAGAAACGTGGGAAGCGTCAAGTTATGATTAGGCCCTCCTCGAAAGTGATTATAAAATTCCTTATGGTCATGCAAAAGCATGGTACTTTTAAATCATTTTCTCGGTGGCATGTTTATTGCTTTCCGTATATATTTTTTGTTTTTGTGTTGATGCGGTTTATTTTGTTGGTTGTAGGTTATATTGGGGAGTTCGAGTACGTTGATGATCACAGGGCTGGTAAAATCGTTGTGGAATTGAATGGAAGATTGAATAAGTGTGGCGTTATTAGTCCTCGATTTGATGTTAGTGTTAAGGAGATTGAGGGATGGACTGAGAGGCTGCTTCCTTCAAGACAGGTCAGTTAGAAAGCCTTCATTTTTAACCCTGCCATAAAATGCCACAAAGTAGTTTGATAATTTAATTTGTTAACTGTTTTTACCACAGAATCTGCAACTTTAATGAACTTGAATGTTCTCTGTGATCAATTTTGGTCCATTTCATTGCCATTTTAATCTTGTCAAATATGAGATTAGGTCAATATTTGTTTCTTACTGTCCTTGTTATGAGAGGGTCAATAGTTTTTCTTCCTATCTCGTTTTGGTGCCTGTAATGCCTTTTTGTTAGGTTTTAGTAGCTTTGAAAGCTTGGTTGGTTTGTAGAGGTTTGATTAGAAATTTTAGATATCACTATAATATGAAAAGTTTGGCTGGTTGGGTTGATTAGAACTTGTATAGAAATCACAATGGTATGAATTGTCCCCTTAGTCTCCAATTTGTATCCAATGAAATTATTATCACGATCATGTCTCTAATGACAGGCCATTTAAACTCAAACCCCTAATGGTTGGGAATAAAAAGTTTTTTGACTATCACCTATCTAGTTTACTCTTATAATAATGCTTTTATGGAGTGATACAACATAATTTTCTTTGGTCTCTCATCCGACCTAGTCATCGTGTATTTACACACTAGTTTTGCTTTAATAGTTCTTGCTCGTGTTTGTCAGAACAACCTTTAGAATAAGGGTACTGCATATTATTCAATATGTGCTATCCATCTCAACGTTTTCTTTTAAAGTTCTGTCTTACCAGTTGCAACCATTCTTCAACTGTCATGTTAATAATCGAGATATTTAGACAGTGATAAGTTGCATAAAGGGAATAAATAATGACATTAAAAATAACTAAGTAATAGTTAAACGTGTAGGATACATTCAATACAAATAATCCTAATAATCTTGTATTCAAAGAACATTTTATTTCTTACGTAGCCATTCATGTTACTTGTCAATATGCGGTATCATGTGATTTTTCTATTGGTCCCTAACTATTGATTGTTAAAATAATGCAGTTTGGATACATTGTCTTGACTACCTCTGCTGGTATCATGGATCACGAAGAGGCTAGGAGAAAGAATGCCGGTGGTAAAGTGTTGGGTTTTTTCTACTAGAGTATGAGAATTGCCCTCGATTTCAGTTTTTTGGGAAGTTCATAAGTTGCTTTGAAAGAGTACTAGGTTTTTTAATCTGTTAGGGATGGAATTCAGGTGTTTCTTTTTCTTTTTTGCATGGTTGTCCTAATTTGGCTTAATTAGGACCTTAAGCTTTTATTTTCACTTTTGTGTTGTGCTAAATTGAATTTTGTTGAATCCTATTCAGTATACTTTATTTTAAGTTTTGCTTTTATAAGTAACTATATATGACTCACTTAGATTTTGAATACATCAGTTGTTTGTTCGCTTGTAGGCATACACTATTGGTGTGTATCCTAATTTTATGCAACACTTTCATCGGCTCTTTACAGAGTAAAGAAACCTAATAGAATATACAACTAATTTTTAATTGCTTGAGTTATTTTGTATTACACTAATTACTGCGTTACATTTAAGTAAAACATTTAAGCAATTTAAATAAATTTAACTCAAAGTATAATTTCAATAAGCAATCTATATTTGATCCAATCAATTCAAGTTCAACAATGATATTTGACTTTCTTGAATGAAGGCGATGCTGTAACAAGTACCTAAATTTGATATGATTATGTTATAAAAATTTTCCCAATTAAAATGAAAATATAAGACAAATTGAGTGGATAATTTAATTCATTTGTTACCATATGTCCTTTATTTGAAATGAGGATCATTTCCTTTACTTTTATGAACTTTTCATTATAGATTACACTTTGGTGCACCGAATTTTTTGAAGAATACACTTGTATTGTTTACGTGTAAATGTAATACATTTCTACCCCGTATATATACTAGAATGAGTCCTGTATGTAGATTAAATAGAAATAATCATTGGATACTCACAAAGATGAGAACCAGGATTTGATACTTGATGTTCCTAACAATATCAGTTTCAGTTTAGATAGGAATTACGGATGAATTCTGTATTTTTTATTGAAAAGTGAAGGGGTGTCATTTAAATTGCTATGATTAGAGGTGTAAGAAATTTGTATCAATGCATGCAAGAAAGAGACTCCGGAACAGCTGTCCTTAGAACCAAACTTATATCTAACAGTGAAACATGGCCTAAAAACAAAAAACATTGTCATTTCTTACCGTTGCAATGTCTTCCTCAATGTCAGTACAATGTCTATTACATCTACCTTCTGCTCCAAGTAACAGAAAACCACCCAACACAAGCAAACATAGGTTACACCAACCTATAGAATCCAAAGGTAGTAAGTGTTTTATGTTGTAGAAAACTCTCTTCCTCTAAGCACCACCCATCACAAGTCTTGTTCCTTCTGAAATAACTCATCTGCAAAAAATGGTGTTTCTGCCCAAATTCTCTCTACTCTTGTGGATTCTCCTTTCTTCATATGCCATTCTCTTGATAAATTATCCAGTTAAATGTGGTGACGGTAAGTGCTTACTCATCTTAAATTTTGCCACAATTTAACCTTTCGTGCTATGTTAGACCATATTTTGAATTGGTTTACAAACTTAAGAATGCGAGATCAAAATCAAGAATTTAGATTCTTTGCACTCACAAGTCACAATATGATGTCCTTGCTGTAGTTATGAGATCAAAGTCTGTGTGTTGTTAGATCTTCATCAAACAATCTTGATCTCGATCTCACTGCAACGAGCACATCATGTTTTAACGACATCAGAATGCATCTTAAACATTCACATATATATACATACATAATTAAGAATTCTTTCTGCAGATGAGAAGGATAGTCTTTATCAGGGTATCAACAAGTACCGAGCATCGTTAAACTTGAAATCTCTTACGAAAAACAAAAATGCAGATTGCCTTGCTGATAAAATAGCAGATCAATTCAAGAACCAACCATGTACAAACACCACAGGTGCTAATACAGTACCAGGCACAGAACCTCAATTCTCAAACTACCCAAACCTGTTAGCTAAGTGTCACTTGGCTATTTCTGACACAAAGGATGGAACTGTAATGCCTGCTTGTGTTCCTGGCCTGGCTTCAAGCCTTGTCCTCGCGAATTTCACGAAATCTCTCTACTCGGAGAATCTCAACGACACACAGTTTACAGGAATTGGTATTGGTTCGGAAGATAACTGGATTGTTGTTGTCTTGACCACAGACACTCCTACAGGAAACTTTGCTCCATATAGTTCCGGTGCTCGAAATTTGATTTCCAAAGTCGGAATGATTTATTCCTCGATGCTTTTGTTAGCTGCCAACATTTTCCTGTTGTGAAACCTAGAGGATGGCTATTGGCAATGTTTCATCATTACAGTTTTGTTACCAGTTAGAAATTCGTGCTACGCCACAAAGATTTAACTTGAATGTTAAAATGGAAACAATGAAGATAACTGTTTCTCTATTGTTTAATAACATAATTGTATGTTGAATGCTAGAGTAAGAAAAGTTGGAAAATGTTGTTCTCAAAGGGTTGTTATTTGTTGTCATTGTTATCAATAATATGATTTTTGAGTTTGAAATTGCAAGTGCACAACACATACTAAACTAAAAAAAAAATGCTACTTTAACACCTTAAGTGAGAAATTGTTTATAGTATATTGAGCGCGAATTCAAGACGCCTTCAATTTGGGGGGATTGGCAGAAAAGTATCTTCCAATCATGAGCATCAGAATCCATGTCGACTTTGTGATCTTCTCCTTTACCATCAGAAGTAACGCAGAGCTGAGAACAGTTTTCAATATCTGCGCCTGCAATCCGTTGAAAAATCCCAAGAGGCCTTCTCTTTTCCAAATTGTATAGAATGCGCCAGAGATCGTCTTCTGTGCCTTCTTCTCAGTTTCCGTACTCTTATTATCATATGAATCGGCAGCCTGAATCGTGACTTTACACCTATTGACAATTCAAAAAATCTTTCATCACCAAGTCCATAATATAGCATAAACAAAACGAAAAATCTGTATATTAACACAAATGAAAAATCTCGAGGAAAATAATGTAAGTTGATCATCCACCTGATAGCTGGGTATGTCAAGCATGTAGCAGCGCATTTTGAAACTGCACCAAGCAAGAAAGCATTAAACGCAGACAGCGATTCTGGGGACGACTTTGCATCTGTTCTCTTGCTCCCTTTTCCCTTTAGTAGTCTGTGTTTCAGCTGATCGAATGCAGTATACTGTTGGAGGATAAAATCGCTGTCTGAGTATGCGTAGTCTTAATCTTATAGTACAAATTGTGAAAGATCGATACCTGAATAGATGGGTTTGTTGTTAAAAGAATAGATATGGCAAGACCATCAAATGCCTCACTCCAGGTACCCTCTGATAAGGTCTGCCATAGTCCCTTGGATTTTCCAAATTCACTTGTCTGCATTCTTGAGGATGCTGTATCTAAGGGCTGTAAAATAGGAATCTCGGCGAGCTTATTAAAATAAGCTAACAGCTTATGAACATTTGTCATAAGTTGTTTTCATAATCACACAAGTGCTTATATCAGTAGATAAATTTAAACAACTCAATTCAAACAGGTCCTAAATGATTTCATCTTTGAAACAAAACGATTAAATTTTGACTTGCCTGAGTTATTAGTATAGTGCAAACCCCAGACATAGTAGCGGCAATCAAGTTTGCTGTTGTGCCAATGTTGTTGTTTCCGGTTTGTTTCAAATATAGTTTCTTAAAATAGCTGTATCCATAGAAATAAATAAACGACGAAATGAAGGATTGGACATTTTTCGTCCCAAGGCCTTGGTACAATGAAAGCACCTGACGTTTAGAAACTGCTTCCCATAGAACATCAGAAATTCTCCTACATGGGTTAGATCATGGAATTGTAATTATGACACCAAATGAAATAGCAAATAATGAAATTGGGGTGATAAAAGGGTGAAAAACAGTAAGAAAAACCTATATTTTCTTTGATGACGAGCTTGAACTTCAGCTTGATATTTGGTCTTACAAGTATCAAGCGGGTACAAGACAGTGGTGCTGACAAGGGATCCAATTGCTCCAGAAGTAGCTTCAGACAATGATTCAAGATCAAGTTGCATCTTGTTCTGTTATGAGAAAAATCGCAGAGAGAAAGAAATGAGGAAATGAAGGAAGAGAAGGTGAATGAATAGAGTAACTTGGGAATTATCGGTGAAAATGAAACGGGGATTGTGATTGGGAGGAAATGGAATGAAAGTTGGTGTCGCTGAGAGGTTTGAAGATTTCACAAGGAAAGTGTTGAGGTGAAGAGATGGTAGCTGGTAAGTGCTGAGTGAAAAATGAAAAATGACAACAATTGTCGATATTATTGTACCACAACCTAAATCGTGATACTAGACTATTGTTTAAAACCTTAGGAAAAAGAAAAGAAACTAGGTTTACTGTATACAACATCAATCTGCAATAGAAGATTGAGTTGGGTTAAACAACTAGTATAAATCTTCAATATTTTGTAAGTGAGTTTACACATTTATTGTCTTCTATGAGAATGTATTAAAAAGAGTTAAAGATTTGTGTACAGTGAAATCCACGGATGTAGTGGAATCTGATTTAAAGATAACATTTCAAAACCCTTTATCTTGAGTTTGTTGAGACAAAATCTCTTATGAGATTCAATGATAAAAAATTCAAATGATTTAAGTATGAAATGTTTGTGAGGTATTTATTTACTTGTAGATTTAGTAAACAAGCACGAGTTTAGTTCACTTAAGAGATTAATTCGAAAAATCTCAAAGAGAATTTGTGCAAAAAGCTGCGAAGAAAAACGTGTGTGATCGAAATTTAAATGCATGAATAATGATAAACTGGACGCAAACAATACGCTTTGGATAAAGATAACAAACAATAAAGAGGATAAATGACATTAAAGTAAATGCTTCAAATATAAAAGATTCAAAGAAAGTTTAAATAATGGGCTCGGACTCACATTTCTCACAAATTGTTTCTCTTTATGACTTGAATACTTTAGTTCTATAGAAAGTTAGTGCAAAATTACGACCTTGATCTCATACACAGAGATTGACTTATATAATAATACAATAGTAACTGTATACAACTTATATAACCTAGTGATATGACACATATTCCACTAAGGAGGCTTCATCAATCTATTTTTCTTCCACACGTCTTCAAGGATAGAACTGCTGAAAACCAACCACCATGCTGACAACTGTGTTAATAACTGCTTCGAACCTTTTAATTATCTCTGTAGAGAGTCATTTATCAAATCTTATAGTGCCGAGACATCTTTATATCACATAGTCTTTGGACTTAAGAATATCCTAAATCTGTGACACCTAGTAAACGTGTCGACTTCGACACTGGTTCAATGTATGATTTGTGAAACCCTTTTCAAGATTCTTAACATGTTTGGAAGAGAGTGATCCTAATATTGTGGATCTGTTTCCGAGACTCCTCCAAACCAGCCTCCGCTTTCACTCATTTGACAAGTTAGTCTAAACATCATAATCGACATAGCTAGTATGTCGAAGCTTCGGTTGAAGCTCTTGACACTAGCATTTTCAACGTAGCTATTACCATTCTTTGTTGAGTTTCCTTCAACTTAAATTTTAGTAACTGCTTGTCACTGTTCAGAATGACTTGTACATGTCACATAATTAGGCGTTTTTAATCATTATGACTACTTTCCATACTCCAATTTTCTAGGATAACTATGGACTGCAAAATTAAATGACATTAAAAGAAATCATATAACTTAATTTTTTTTACCAAAATTTAAATGCCACGTGTCCGTCTCGAAATGACACTTGTCATTGAAATTTTTAGAGGGAAACATATTTTTTTTCTCTTGATGGATATTTATACGCTTCTTCAACATCTCTTTTTCTTTTCCACCATTTTGTTCTCCAAAAACCCTAAAAGTTCCTGAGATTTCTACAACTTCCATCCTCATCATTCAAAACTCCTTTTCTTTAAATTATGAAGAATCAACAATGGCTTTTCATCCTATTGTCAGGTGTGATCCAAGTATTCCTTCTATTGCTGACATCCTATGCCTTATCCTCGTAGACAACTGTACCTACGTCCCAGAGCCTCCCATGGAAGAAGAAAAGAGAAAAATATTGTATTCTTAGATACTGATCCCCTGTTCCATTGCAGGTAATATTTGCACTTTTATGGGTCCTCTGCTTAGGTACGTTAGTAAACCTCATCTTTTGGAATACTTCATCCCTAATCATCCCTCACGTGAACTCTTAGTGTTTGTAAACAAACCCTTTGATTTCTACTTCATGAAAAATCATGTATTTTGGTCATCTCCCTCGACTAACAACCCCTTATATATTAGGTGGCTAGATAGGGTTCATCAAAAGAAATGACAAGTATGGAAAGATTAGGGTATTTTTGACCTGATACAAATTTCAAGAGTTAACCCTATGTACAACTTGCACATGCTTGTTGTTGCCATGTGCTTTTGGGAATCCACGACCTACATTTCACTTACCATGTGGAATGATAACCCCAACTCTCTTTGACATAACAGTAATTTCTGGTCTTCGACCAACTAGGGAACCTTTTGAACCTTATAAAATAACCAAAACCAAACCCAAATTCATTTTTACTCACCCTAGCTATAACACATACCTTGAAGAACATTACGCTTCAACTGAGAATGTAGATGCCCAGGAACACATAACTTTCCTCACATTATGGCCTTATCACTGTGTTTTTTTTTCTCTAGCTCTCTTCAAGTGTCCAAAAATTTGTACCTCTGGCTACTCAACTCAGGAAGGAGGGACATCTTTCTCAACAAACTGATCTTGTGTGTCCTTTATGAATCTTTAGGATTTGCTTCTTGTGACCTCAAGGAACGGGAAAATCCTGAAAGTTTATTGGTGTCTGGCCCTTTTTGGCTCATACGGTTGTGGCTTAATGCCACCTTTGAACCTTCTCTCAACACCAATGTTCTGTCTAATTTAGATAGGGGTGTCTAAGCCCTAAGACTTGCCCAAATTACTCCAGATAATGGCAAAGATACATCAAAAGAATCATTCAAGACTCATTTTGACGTGTTTTACAATTGTAAAACATTCGTCTCGACCATGACACCTTTCACCAGTAGGAGTTGTGGACCTGACTAGTTCACAATTCCATTCCAAACCTCTTCGTTTGAAGAGTAAAGAGAGATTCCCTGAATTTTATTATTATTTTTTCAACCTGCCCCCTTGTTGACCAAACTCTGTTATTCAAAATCGGGTATAAGGGCGACAACCTATCAACCAAACTTAGTAACTAAGCAATTTGGTCTTAGCCAATTCTGACATAAATCCTTTATTTCAAAAGAAAACCCCCTATTCATATGACCAAATAAATAGTGACTTGAGAAGGGCGCAAACTTCAAATTTTTTTAATTAAAGATAAAACACACAATTTAAAGAAGGATGAAACAAATGAAAGAAATATTACACCCTACATCATCATAATTATATAATATGACATTTGTAAACAACTAACTTATATGTGTTTGTTAACAACCAACGAATTAAAACCTAGTACACCCAATTTTTGTTGGGAGGACATACTTATCTAACTCAATCTATTAACACATGTGGTGAATGGAATAAGTTACAAACATTATTTTTGAAATATTACTCTAGTTACACCGACTAAAGAATTTAGTTATGTTAATACATTTTTCCTTCAAATTTAATATTGATTTTGAGTATTGTAAAAACTTCTCCGAAGATGCATGACCCATTATAGGTTGCTCAAACAACAATCATAACAAATCTAGTTGACAATGATAATATTAAAGCATGTAGTAAATTGAATCTAATAAGTACTTTACAAAAGAGTTACAAGTACTTGACAAATTTCTCACTTAAACTCGTCTCTAAGCCTATTAAACATTTATGATTCAACTTGTGTGGTTCTTGAAAAAGGTAAAAAGAAAATGTAATTATTCTCTTCATATTGATATTATTCGAGCCTATATAATATGTGATTGTTTCGTTATGATGTCAACTAGCTATAACTATATTTGAAGCATGACAAAAATGTTTTTTTTAAAGATAGAGTTGGTATTCAAACTTCAGTTGAAAGATTTAAACTTTTGTTGGTAGAATCAAGATTAATAAATAAGTTTTTATTGATATTTAAAAAATCAAATTATTTTTTAAGTATTTTAATGAAATTTTGTTGTAGACTGTTTTAAATTATATAAGTGTGAGTTTGAAAATTTTTATTTTTCCGATATATTTAATCAATTCTATTTATTTATTATCATTAAAACTAAAAATTAATTTATTTTTTAATTTTAATAAAATTAATCATTTGTTTTATCATATTTGATAATATTCAATAGTCATAGAAACAATTAATTTTTTCTCTAACAAGTAATTTCCACCTCACAACTAACTTTCTATAGCATGGATCATTATCGACACAACATCTATTTTGTTTTAGTTAATAATTATTTTTATTTGAAAGGACAAATCTTTACTTCTAAATGTCAACATTTCTTTATTTCTCTTTCTCCATCTCACGAGTCTTTTTTTGTTTAATTATTTAATACAATTGAATTTATATAATTATTGTTTATTTTATAATTAAATAATTTATTTTAAATTTATATGCACATCTAAATATATTTTATATCGTATCAAAATTAATTTATCTGTGTCGGAACACGGGTATCTTCCTAGTGATTTTGTAAATTTTTTAAGGAATAGATTACTTTGAATACATCTTTAAATTTAAAAGATCATTACAACAATTTTATGTTTGAACTTAAAACTCGTATTATGTTAATTATTTATAGCAAACATTTCTTTATTACATTTGTTTCAAAAAGAGGCTGAGCTTGTCAAAATGTTACATTTGATTATTAATATCAAACAAACTTGTTTATTACTATAATTGACACTCAATTATAAGAGCTAGATAGTAGATTTTGTAAATATAGTGGAATTTATTACTTTGTGAGTTGTTATGATATTTTTGTCGATGTGTGACTTGTGGAACAATGACTTTATATGTTTGAACTTAAAATTTGTATCATGTTAATTATTTATAAAAAATGACATTTGTTTATTATGTTTAT